GGTCCGAAAAAGATTTTGCTTAAATGAAGCAAGAACCCTTTATTTTGCGATCTGATTCTGTTTTTGATGATGCCTTCAAATCTGTTCTTGTCAGGTACTCCAACAACAAGGACCCAAAACATTACTTGTGGCAGAGCTTCAATGATCGGACCGATACTCTACTCCCAGAGATGACACTCAACTCATCTTTGAAAGGCGCAAATTATGCGCCACGTCGATATCTCAAATGCTGGAAAGGAGCAGGGGATCCAGCGCAAGGAGAGTTCGGCTTAGGACTAACCGCACAAGAATTCCCAAGACTTCAAATTTTGGGGAAAGAGGGAGACACCAAACGTTACCGTAGCGGAGCTTGGAATGACGTCGCCTTCACAGGCGTCCCTCTGGTATTCAATTTCACAAGAGTAGGAGAGGATTCTGTTTTCATGTATCAAGCCGATAACTCTTACTCAAGAGTGACTTTGACACCAAAGGGATCGTTAGAAATTTTGGCATGGAATCAAACTAGGCTTGAATGGAACAAGCTATGGCATGCACCAAAAAGCAAATGCGATTTGTACAATCACTGTGGCGCCAACAGATATTGCGACGAGTACACGCCACCATCGCCCATATGCAAGTGTATCGAGGGATTTGAGCCCCAATCAGGGGAACTAAGAAACGTCACAAAGGGATGCGTGAGAAAGAATACGTTGAGCTGTAGTGGAAATAGGTTTGATCGACTCCCGAATATGAAGTTGCCGGATACAGAGGGCGCCAATCGGTATACTCTTAACGGATTAAAAGATTGTGAAGATAAGTGCACCAATGACTGTTATTGCACAGCCTTCACCATGACTGCTTATCAGAATGGGAGCTTATCGCAAAGCTGTGTGAACTGGAAGGGAGATCTTCTGGACGTTCGCAACTACTCCGGGGCAGGACAAGACCTCTACGTTAGATTGAACGGTATAGTTCGTCTGTCAAAGTTTATAATAAGATTAGAGTAAACTATTACTGATACGACGATTACTCTTTTTTTTTTTTGATTCTCAGGGAGTAAAAACAATAAGAAGAGAAACAAAAACATGAGCCTAATAATAGGTTTAATTAGCATCGGAGGAACCATCACAGCTGTCATTGTGTTGGCCGTGGCCGCATTCTGGTTATGGAAAAGGAAACAAAACAGAGCGAGAGGAAGTGGTAATGAAAATCTCGTTTTTTCAACGTATTTATAATTACAAACTCTTACGGTTATAATTGGATTACTGATTACATGTTTATTCCTTTTCCATGTTGAAGCGATGAGTGTAGTAACGAGTCCAGAAGCCATGTTTGAAGGTGACGCAGTAGATATTCATCCCATTGATTTCGGGCTTGTTCTCAAAGCCACTGAGAACTTCTCTAACGAGATTGGAGCAGGCGGCTTCGGAAAAGTGTACAAGGTATCATTTTATTTTGAAACACTTTTTATAACATAACTTTTTTTTGACAATTTTCATGTAACTTTATGCCGGATATTGTGACAGGGAAAATTCCATGACGGACAGGAGATCGCGGTTAAGAAAATGTCAGAAACGTCGAAGCAAGGTATCAAGGAGTTTTACACCGAGGTGAAGCTGATTGCAACACTTCAGCACATCAACATTGTCCGACTTCTTGGCTGGAGCACTTACAGAGACGAGATGGTACTAATCTATGAGTACTTGGCAAATGGAAGCCTCGAAAGCCATCTCTTTGGTTAGTACAAATGTTCTCTTAGCTTTTAAGTTAACATGTTATTTCCTTTACTTAATCCAATTTTTTTTTTTTTTGGTTGTGATTGATTCGTATGCAAAGGCCAACGCTCCGGTGAGCTAAATTGGCAAGTGAGATTTGACATTATTAAGGGTATCGCTAGAGGACTTGCTTACATGGAAGAAGGTTCGAGGGACGTGATCATCCACAGAGACTTGAAACCCTCCAACATCTTACTTGATGAAGATATGACTCCAAAGATTTCTGATTTCGGCTTGGCCCGAATCTGTGAAAGGAACGGGAACCAATCTGGCATGACAAAGGTGGCCGGGACTTAGTAAGCAATCGAACTTTTAGATATCTGAAGCTTAAAATGAGAAAAAACGCCCAAGTTTGAGTTTAATCTCTTGTTATATTACGCAGCGGGTACATGTCTCCGGAGCAGGCGGTGACTGGGAAATATTCTAGAAAGTCGGATATATTTAGTTTTGGTATCATAGTACTTGAGATTGTAAGTGGAAAGCAGAACAGGGAATCCTCCTCCAGCACCAATCTTCCTAGCCATGTGAGCTATTCATACTTCTTCTTTGAC